CCAAAGATCCCGAACTAGAATCAGAGTTTGGGGAATTTGTCGGCCAAAGATCCCGAAATAGAATCACACAGTTTGGGGATTTTTTTTCAGCGCCAGTTTCTGGGCTGCCTTCCTCTTCCCGCTTTGGCTGCGGCTTTCCCGCTGCCTCCCGTAGCATGAAACTGGCGGCGCCTTACAAATCCCCTGCAGCAGTTTTATTTTGTTGACGGCAGCGATCTGCGTAAATAAAACGTACGACACAAAAATGAACACTCATGTTGGCCACAAGGTTGGGTCACCAGACAGCCTTTTATTTATTTATTTATCAAATGAGACATTTCGACGATGGAAGAGAGACAATCGACCATAGAGTCTATTGCCACCAATCTGACTTCCCAACCCCCCCCCCCCCCCCCCCCCCATGCCATCCATCCATTGCAACAAGCTTCAGTAGGCGCGGATCCTACTGTGGGGGGGGGGAGGAATGAGTGGGGGAAGGAGGAAATAGAGGGGGGGGGCACACACACACAAGGTTGCTGTGTGCCCTCGCTGGCTGTCGTGAGTACCCGAGTACTCGGCTGGCTGTCGTGATTATATCGGCACTGTCGGTGCGGCGAGGCTGGCTGAAGGAAGTTCTACGTATGCGTACTCTGAGCCAGATACTTTTTTATGGTTTGGTTCTGGCTTTGCTTGGCAACTCTCCGATGGAAAACCGTCCACCATCCTGCTAGGGGTCCCATCTGCCGGCCGGGATATGCCAGTAGAAAACGGGAAGACGACAAGGCTACTGTTAACTAACACAGTTGGGCCGATCCACGCTGGGCACCGTTCACCCCTAATTCCACGCCAACGGGGTCACCCAGCGCTAGCCGCGCGTTCTTGCGTGGGCAATGAAAGAACGCGTGGTCCGAAGAGGAGATATTCAAGTAAGAGGTTTCTCCTGTTGGGAGCCACCTGGGTGGCGCTACGTCTACTACGGCTAGCTCGGGGGTCTGCAGCAAGAAAAGAGACTTTTTTTTTAGCGAATTTGGTCAAATCAAACTAAATATTTCAAGAGCCGCAATGCACGTGAATAAGAGACGGTGGGTGGCCCTTAATAATGTCACGAAACGGTCCTTAATGAGCCACATGCGGCTCTGGAACCGCGGCGTTGCTGACCCCTGCCCATGGTAAAGTGAAACTCCCATGGTAAACTCTCACCGCGGTGCGGCACCGTGTCTTGGGGTCGATTCGCGCAGGAAAACGGCACGCTCGTGCAACCGGTACATTCCAGTGCTTCTAACGTTCGAACTTTCATTTTTGTCCGTTTTATTATTACTTTAGAACTCTATTATTCGTCGTTAACTTCACCGTTATTTCACGAGTTACTTTATCTGGAGAGGGGGAAGAGGGGGGGGGGGGAATCCCCGAAATATTTTGCGTAACTTGAACGAGTGGCGGAGCGATCCCCAACTCGACGATGCTTTTTGCAAACCGGGCGACGCGGGGCATATCGTGGATGCTGCCATCGCACGGAGTGTCGCGGCGAGCCTGCTTTTTTAAACGTACAAAAACTACGTCTTTCGCTATTTGCGGATGCGTGGCCACCGCAGCATTGTGAATGCGTCTGCTGCGACACGGAGATTAATCTCTCGCACTCAATATGTTTGCCGGCAAGCTGTCAGGCAGTGCTGCATTCGAGAAAGTCGCGGGTTATCGGCGCAAGGGACTACCACCACTAGGTTATGCCGTTATCTGTAAATACTCCTGTATTACTGCACCCTACATGACTAATAATCCTATAAAGATGTTTATAGGAATATAGGGTACTACGGAGGACGTTAATGATGATAATAATAATTAAGGCGAGATTGATGTGGCGTTGCCAAAAATACATAGCCGGAAACGGCGTTCTGGATTGTTCAGGCTGAAAGGAAGCGCCGATTCAATGCCTCTGTTGTATATCCACCACCCCCGTGTGTCAGTGATACAACCCACCTTATAAAGCTTTTAAGTTTTTCTGGGGTTTTTTTCAGGCACAAAATATAGGATTTTTTAATATATATGTTTTTGTTGTCGTAATTTTTTATACATAAAACCAAAAGTCAAGTCACAATTATGTACAATATATACAAAGTAAAATCCTTCAAAAACAACCAAGAAAGTCTTTGGCATTTTAAAGCGGTAAAAAAAAGCTTTTTTTTTGTAAGTGCTGCATCGTTTATACAGAGACGATATCAATGCCTTGCAAACGAGAACACACAGGGGAAGGCAGGACGATGGTATATTATAACGTGGGGATGTCGACATTGGACTTGATAATAACAATAATACTCAAATGTCCTTAAACATTTTTTTTAACGCGACCGTTAAAAATACCGCAGCCGCCACCACTTTGATTACTACCCCGACAGTTTTGTACAATAATAATATATTAATATAGGCGACTTACATTGAAAAGTAAAAGTACAGTGAAAAGGACAAGTCCTGTGCAGATTTTAACGTTCCACTCTTGAAACCTTTCGACTGTGCCCCTCCCTCGTGCGTGTCTGTGTGTATATTACGCGTTTGCGTACACGCAGTCAACTCTCGATTGTATCTTCGGAGGACTTACAATTATTTTTTATCTTGATATCGGCAAAAAAAGGATGGGCTTCACCTTTTCCAGCAATAGCACAAGTTTAACGCTTTGACGTTTCCGATTACGTCGTACACGTGTACGTCATCGGGGAACGGAACCGGAAGTAAAAAAACCTAAATTACTTTATCGGTACCGATGCTCCCATAAGGCCATGTGGCGGGAGGGCGTGTGACACAGTTTGGCGCCAGCTATCGCAGTGCGGTTGTGTCGCTACAGTTCTCTGCGGTGAGGACGATGTCATTAAAAACATTGGCGCTATGCCTCCTAGAAATAAAATTAACGCTAACTGCTTATGCGTTCCGAGATTCAACGGTGTACGGGAACCTACCCTGTAACTTGTAGTCGCCTTGCAATGGAAAAGGGTTACAAATATTCAAATAAAAGGCATGAAGTCTGCATTAACCACACCATGTGTAAAACATGCAAACATTCTTTGATAATGTATGCATTGTCCCTGAATCTGATTGGCCTACACCAGAGACGGCCTTCTTTATGGCCTTGCCTCACCAGTGTTAGCATTGCCTTTATGCTGTTCGACTTTTGGCATTCTCTGATCCAGCTCTCGATTTGCTGCATCGGGCGGATCGTCAGGGCCAAAGGTTAACCAACCGTGCTCACGATTGTTTTTTTTCATAATCTCTGATTAGTTTAACGCGCACCGGTTTTATTGATCTGCTTGCTCCCCACACGTGACGGGTTTGCCTCTGCGGTCACGTGACCCCGTGCCCCGACTGGACATCTGTGAACAAAAAGAGCTTTATAGGTAATCAGATTACTCCAGGATAAATAACTCTCCACCCACCGCAGATGTATGAAATTTCCACCGCTGGCTTAGGGCTGTCATGTAAACAGATGAGCAGCAATGCCTCGATGCAAATTTTCGAAGGGAAATCACTTGTTACTCAATACAGTGAGGGAAAAAAGTATTTGATCCCCTGCTGATTTTGTACGTTTGCCCACTGACAAAGAAATGATCAGTCTATAATTTTAATGGTAGGTTTATTTTAACAGTGAGAGACAGAATAACAACAAAAAAATCCAGAAAAACGCATGTCAAAAATGTTATAAATTGATTTGCATTTTAATGATGGAAATACGTATTTGACCCCTCTGCAAAACATGACTTAGTACTTGGTGGCAAAACTCTTGTTGGCAATCACAGAGGTCAGACGTTTCTCGTAGTTGGCCACCAGGTTTGCACACATCTCAGGAGGGATTTTGTCCCACTCCTCTTTGCAGATCTTCTCCAAGTCATTAAGGTTTTGAGGCTGACGTTTGGTAACTCGAACCTTAAGCTCCCTCCACAGATTTTCTATGGGATTAAGGTCTGGAGACTGGCTAGGCCACTCCAGGACCTTAATGTGCTTCTTCTTGAGCCACTCCATTGTTGCCTTGGCCGTGTGTTTTGGGGCATTGTCATGCTGGAATACCCATCCACGACCCATTTTCAATGTCCTGGCTGAGGGAAGGAGGTTCACACCCAAGATTTGATGGTACATGTCCCCGTCCATCGTCCCTTTGAGGCGGTGAAGTTGTCCTGTCCCCTTAGCAGAAAAACACCCCCAAAGCATAATGTTTCCACCTCCATGTTTGACGGTGGGGATGGTGTTCTTGGGGTCATCGGCAGCATTCCTCCTCCAAACACGGCGAGTTGAGTTGATGCCAAAGAGCTCCATTTTGGTCTCATCTGACCACAACACTTTCACCCAGTTGTCCTCTGAATCATTCAGATATTCATTGGCAAACTTCAGACGGGCATGTATATGTGCTTTCTTGAGCAGGGGGACCTTGCGGGCGCTGCAGGATTTCAGTCCTTCACGGCGTAGTGTGTTACCAATTGTTTTCTTGGTGACTATGGTCCCAGCTGCCTTGAGATCATTGACAAGATCCTCCCGTGTAGTTCTGGGCTGATTCCTCACCGTTCTCATGATCATTGCAACTCCACGAGGTGAGATCTTGCATGGAGCCCCAGGCCGAGGGAGATTGACAGTTCTTTTGTGTTTCTTCCATTTGCGAATAATCGCACCAACTGTTGTCACCTTCTCACCAAGCTGCTTGGCAATGGTCTTGTAGCCCATTCCAGCCTTGTAGCCCATTCCAGCCTTATGTAGGTCTACAATCTTGTCCTTGACATCCTTGGAGAGCTCTTTGGTCTTGGCCATGGTGGAGAGTTTGGAATCTGATTGATAGCTTCTCTGGACAGGTGTCTTTTATACAGGTAACTAGCTGATATTAGGAGCACACTCTTCAAGGGAGTGCTCCCAATCTCAGCTTGTTACCTGTATAAAAAACAACTGGGAGCCAGAAATCTCTGATTGAGGGGGTTAAATACTTATTTCCCTCATTAAAATGCAAATCAATTTATAACATTTTTGACATGCGTTTTTCTGGATTTTTTTGTTGTTATTCTGTCTCTCACTGTTCAAATAAACATACCATTAAAATTATAGACTGATCATTTCTTTGTCAGTGGGCAAACGTACAAAATCAGCAGGGGATCAAAAACTTTTTTTCCTCACTAAGTGCGTTTTTGTATAGTCGGATTTACACAAGTTTTGCATTATCTGTGTTATTTTTTTTCTATATCTTTGGGCCCATCCATTCCCCAGTTAATCAAGAGTTCACCGTGTGTACAGAGCGATAGTTCAAGAGTTTATACCATGAGCAAGGGTATAAAAGCTAAAAGTCCAACTCGCACAAATGAATCTATTGCATGTCAACTATGGTTTTCTTCATAGTTTATCACTAATGCCTCTCAGCCGTATAAGAGTTACGATCCGTATACCAGAGTACCATAGAGTCCTAAAATATAACACGGTAAAAAAAGTGCTAAAAAATAAACCACCAAAAATAGACAAATTTAACGCGCGAGCTTTCGTGACCAATATTACGATTCCGTCGCCAAACCTTTGGGTCGGTTCGCGCAAGCACTGTGTTGTCACACCCTCCTCCACCCGGCTGACCACAGCCGATTTTAAATAAAAGTCGTCGACGTGAGTTGAAAGTGCCGCACTTAATAGTTGGGCGTTGGCAGCAAAGTTGATGGGCGTTGGGAGCACGATCCACAGCGGCAATACATTGGCACTTGTGTTCACGTTACGTGTACGTCATAGAAACGACATTGGGGGATGGGGGGGGCGAAACGAAAACTTTATTGGTACCGATGCTCCCCCGACTTAACCCCTTCACGTACGTGTACGTCATAGAAACGACATTGGTTGGGGGGGGGGGGAAACGAAAACTTTATTGGTACCGATGCTCCCACAAGGCCATGCGGGGGGGGGGGGGGGGGAGACAGTTTGGCACAGTTGTGTCGCCAGCTATCGTATAGTGCTGCGGTCGTGTCGCTGCGGTTCTGTGCGGTGAGTACAGTACAACGTCTGTAAAAACCACGCCACGCTGCTGCTCCAAATAAAATTAACGCTTAACCGCTCGCGCGTTCCGAGATTCAGCGGTGAACGAGGACCCCCCCCCCCCTCGCCCACGCTGCAACTTGCAGACAGTCTCGGAACGGCGGAGGGAAAGGGTTAATTGGCTGTGTCGGGGTGGGAGGAACATGTATCACACACACACACACTATCCGGCACGCGGCGTGATCGGACCCAAAAAATCAAACGCGAATCGTAACAATAACGTCGGGGCGCGTTCATCACGACGACTTATTCCGTTGAGACAACTTTCGCGAGCGAAGCTTTGGGGCACTTTGCCTGGGTGGAATGGACACGCCGTCGTAGCCGGCTGGGCCCTTTCTGCGACATTTTCAAAATAAAATAAACAAAAAAATCCAGTGTCAAGTGCAATTTGAACGTTTGTGTTTTTTTGCGTTGTGCGAGCGACGTCATTAATCCATGGTAGCGAGAGTTACATTTTTTTAACAAGCAACTCCATTGAGGGTCGTCTACTGTGTGTCCGTCTTGGTTTGGTCTGGGACTGCTTTGCTGTGATGTTGCTGCCTTGCGCAACCTTGGGTATCGGTGTTCTTATGCAATTTGAACTTGTACACTTTATCTATTTTACGTATTTATTTTTAGTCATTTGCTTACCTTTTTCTATACTTTTCATCTCTATCGGTTTTTTTTAATTGTTTGTAACTTTCTGACCCACCCCCAACTGTGGACATGTGTGAGAAAGAGCTTGGTAGTTCATTAGATTCGTCCACCATAAATACAGATTCTGATTTAAGTGATTGTTACGTTGAATGGTAGCGGCCACGAGTGGCTGCAGGGTGGTGCTTGGTGAGGGAGGGGGTCACGTGAACCAACCACTGCACACATGTATGTACACACAGTGTATATACTGTGTGGCACACGGGGGAGCACATGTACCAGTCGCCGCAGTCGGTCAAACCATTAACACAACCAACTCCACACCTAGCCTGGCACGTCGGTCGACCCACAACACGCGGGCCTGTCCATTGACCTCCTGCCGACGAGTCTTCAACAATTCACGTGAGGGCCTCCGAAGTGCACTTAGCCTGGCACGAACGCCGTGGCGACGCCACAGTGGCATGGCGGCGAATGGCCAGCCGTTTATCGTTTTTGCAGCTTGTGCGCGTGCGTGCGTATGTGTGATATACTATATGCGTTCACGCACGTACATTAATATAAACTTAATTTTCTTTTCAATATAAAATCGTTGCCTACGGTTCTTTCCGCACCGCTTGGTCGCTTACTCGAAGGGCAAATCAACAGAGGCAGGCCCGAGTCAGCTGGTCAGGGTCATGCCCTGCGAAACGACGCTCATGCCGAGCTGCGATTGGCCGATGCGAGCCAGCTCTGTCCTGGGGTTGCCGAGCTGCGTCAACGCGGAGGACAGGGAGTTGGAGGACACGTGCTGAATCACCTGCTGCTGCGAGCAACTCGCCTGCTCCTCCGTGGGGCTTTCGTCTTCTGCGGCACACACGGACGACGCGTTGACACGCGGGACAAAAAACGCACCTCGTCAGCAGTCGTGTTTTTGTTTTACTTTGCCGACACCTGGGTCACAGGTCGGGGGGTGGAGGGGGAGGGCTGCCAACTTTTTCCCCACAGATTGGAGCTATGAAGCTTTCTTCAATTAGACAGATGTCCAGTAGCGGCACAGTGGGTCAATGTTACGACAGCGAACCAGTATAACGATAGCAGTGCATAGCGTAGGAAAGGTCAGAACATCTCAACGTGCAGACGTCCCCGGACGGGATAGGGTTGATGAGCGTTCACGCAAGTGACAGGAAGCCGGAGCACGCGGTGAAAACCCACGGATACATTGGCGGCAATGACACTCAATTCCTCCCCCACCCTGTACAGATGGAAACCGATGGGAGATCCGTCCAATTGCTGCGCCGCCTTCCCCTGGCGAGCCAGGGGTTACGATGGCACCTCCTCGAATGCCCCACGGTAAGAAGGGGAATTTAAACAACATCTGTGCATGCGGTGATTCACCAAGCCTCGCTGATGCATCTACACACTGCTGGGTTAGAGGCAAGCCACGTGCAGCGTGTAGGTACCACCCCACCTTCTCATTGAGCAGTGATGACAACGGCTTTTCTGGAGGTGGTATTTTTTTTGTTTGTTTGGGCAGCTGTTCCCGATTGCTAACAACGACATTCCTCGAGGTTAACTCCGTCACAAGCTATCCCATTCCCCGTTCGTGGGCAACACCAGTGACCGAAATATCTGAACCGGTACCTGGGCCTCCCCTATGTCGACTCAGCCCGAAATGAGCACCCGGTGCGGTGTGTAAACATCGCCACTGGGGAGACAAAGGCGGTCGGGCGTGGTGCTGGCCACCCGCCCCCTCGTGTGCCATTCCGGCCTTCATAGGTGCTCGCTAACAATACTTGCCCCAACAGTCTTAAGGCTATACGGAGCATCTTTGTCTTTGCTATGGATAGCCAAGAAGACAGGCTGTGTATTATCTGCGTTTCCCCCCCCCCCACCACCATAACTCCTTACACAGGGGTGCACTAAACCTTTAAGAAACGGTAATTATACTACGCAATAACAGTTTATGTGTATATATTTTTTTTAATGTGCGTCAACACTTTCTCGTATTTAAATGAGAACGTATCATTCCGTTCCGCGTGCCGGCACTTCCATTTTTTTGTCTGTTCCAGAATCTCGCCGCTCGTTTATGACTGCGGATCGTTAGCGAGTGCTCTGTGTGTGTGTACGTGTCTGTGTGTGTACGTGCCTGTGTGTGTGTACGTGTGTGGGGAGCGGTAGTGTAGCGAATTAGCACGCTGCGCTACGAAACCCGGCGACCAGGGTTTGATTCGCGCTCGTGGCCAACACCAGTGACCGAATATCTGAACCGATACCTGGGCCTCCCCTAGGTTGACTCGGCCTAAAGTGAGTACCTGGTACGATGTGTAAACATCGCCCACTCGGGAGACAAAGTTCGGCCGGGCATGGTGTTGGCCACCCACCCCCCTCGTGTGCGCTGCTGGCCTTCATAGGTGCTGCTCACTACCAGCACTTGCCCCAACAGTCTGTTATATGGGGGATCTTTGTCTTGCCGTGGGTGTAACTATACGACCTGGTTGGCTGAGCGCACAGGCCCAGCGACGGCAAAGTTTGCCAGCAAGAAAGGGCACTGTTAAAGGTGTAAAACAGGTGAGAGTTTGTACGGTGCTTGAATTGGAAGGCCCGAAATATTACTGGGGTGGAGGGCCACGGTCGTTAAGGTGGAGCAATCGAGGAGTGAGGTTCAAAGTAAGAGCAATCGGAGCAACACACCGTACAGTAATACCGTCGCAACCTACGGTGGCGCCCGTCCGCGATTGCCAGAACTGTTGAAGTCATCCTGATTTCCCGTCTTAAAATTAAGGTGACGTCATTGCAGTCATATAATATTCGTGCGAGCGTGTTTATAATGGTTTACGTTAATTTGACGGTCGGTGTGTGGCAGAGAAATTGTCGAGCGGCGTTCATGTGAGCGGCCTTACCGTGATAGCCCTGTGCTTTTTTCATGTTACTGACAGGACAGTCCTTGTGCGCCATCAACAGCTGCTTCAGCTGGGAAACCTCATTTCTTAACAGGGCCACCTCGTTCTGGTGGAGACACAAAAGACAGCCTTAACAGACTGTTGGGGCAAGCAGTGCCGGATTATCCTAGCAGCAAAAGTGGCTACAAATGCTACGGGCCCCGCACTTTCAAGGGCCCCGCGTTAAATGCTTTCAAGCTTATCAATTCCGGTTCAGTGATTCTGCACTTGCTCTATTACTATAGTACTATACTACATTCGACTTTGAAGAACGACTGGGTGTTTAAGATTAGCGATTTGTTGTATTATCTGGCAAATGAAAAAACACAATTACTTTCCTATGCAAGTTAAACATTTACGTGTTTTTAAAAAAAATTAAATGTAGGGCCCTTTATAACATATGCTACAAGCCCCACACTAGCTTAATCCAGCACTGGGGGCAAGTGCTGTTAGTGAGTAGCACCTAGTGAAGGTCGGCACGGCACACGAGGGGGTGGGTGGCCGGCACCACGCACGCACGGCCGCCTTTGTCTCCCCAGTGGCGATGTTTACACACTGCACCAGGAACTCACTTTGAGGGCGAGTCGACCTAGGGGAGGCCCACGACCGGTTCAGATAATCGTCACTGTTGGCCGTGAGTGGGAATCGAACTCGGGTCGCCGGGTTCGTAGCGCAGTGCACTCGCCACCGCGCCACCGCTCCCCCATTGGAGACACGCGGCCACATGGCATTCGGTGAGAAATAACAACAGGCCAAGGGCGTGCTGCTGATAACCGTTCGGGAAGGCCACTGCTCTCCACCCATGTGTGCCTTGCGTGCATATCACATCACCGCCGCATCGCAACGCACAATGCTCCCAATCCTTGTCCAGACATTCCTGCCGAAAGAAACGTCCATTCGGCACTGCATCACTCCACCAGGATAATAGCTCCCCCCCCCACCCCACCCACCCTCTCCCCTGGGGAAGTTTACATCCCAGAACTACGTCTCAATTCACTGCAACGGGGGCCTCCCTTTTATCCGCACTGGAGGCAGAACCCACTCCCCCATAGCACCCCACCCCAAGTGAAGGCCCTATCACCAGCAATTGCAGGGCTGCTCCTTTACAAAAGCTCCCTTTTTTTTAAATATACAAGTGGACCGCGCGCGCGCGCACCTGCAGCTGCATGTTGGTCTGCGTCAGCTCCTCGGCCTTCTTCTCCAGCGAGCCCACCCACGCCTTGCGCTTGAGGCGGCAGCGAGTGGCGGCGGCGCGGTTGCGCTCGAGGAACTTGCGTCTCCTCTCGTCGGGGTCCTCGTCCAGGGCCCTCCGTCTCCGCCCGCCGCCGCCGCCGCCGCCGCCAGGCTGCGGCGTCGCCACGAGTGGCAGCTGCGTGGGGAGCCCGCAGCGGCGCCCGTCACAACGATGCGTAGTAGTAGTAGTAGTAATAATAATAATGAGTATTGTTGTCGTGAAAACCATCATTATTTTTGTTATCGACGGTCGAGGGTAATGACGGAGGAGCAGCGGCTGAGGAGTGGAACGCGTCCGGGAGGATCGATTTTCCTTTTTTTTTTTTTTGACAGCGCTTCTTCCGACACGAAAACAATCGAGGCTGGTATTCTTTCTTTGTAAGCCATCTGGCTACCATGAGAGATTCGTTCATGAGGCTATCCACATATACAAGCACAGAGACAATTTCAACCGAGAAGATGGATTCTATCTTAGCAATCATTGGAAAGATTTGATAAACCATTTCAGTTCTTAATTGATTGTTCATGCTTACAGTGGCTTTCAGACAGCATACATTATAAAAAAATTCGTTTCCCCCCTCCTCTTTTCAGAATATAGATGGACTAGTCCTGGGTAAACTGCCAAATCGCTGCGCGTGGCGCTAACGTTTTTTTATAAATAAATAAATGCGCCGTTTAAAAATAAATTTATGCAAACCAACACACCGGAAGATGACCGTTTGAGTTATGGTCGAAACGTCGTGAGAATTTTTTATTGTTTTATATATATTTTATTATTTTGTTGTTTCTCTTCAACGTGACTTTACCGAAAAAACTAAGAATATGAATTACTGCAGTCACGAAAGCTTTAAATCAAAATTTAATGGAGGCTGGTGTCCGACGAGACTTTGCGTGGAGCTGTTGATATTGTCGAGCGGTATTTGTCGTGTCGAAGGTCACCTGTTGTTGTGACCCCCGTTTTGAATATGGCCGATTTTTTTTTTTTTTTACAGAGAAAACCTTATCGGCAAGTGGATTGTTTTTACTATGGGGAAAGATACGGTCCTGTTTCTTACAAAGGGGCGCTGTAGAAGTGGTGATGGTCTGTTATAGGCTTAACTTGCTGATCTCGTCAAGGGGCATAAACCATCGCGAAAACTCCCGGGCATCCTCGCAGCAGCGGCTTTTGGCTGGCCATCGAACAAAGACGGTCACCGCATCGCGCGCACTTTCAGATGCGCTTCTGCGGCCGTCTGGAACGTTCTGCCTTGCGATATTAGGAAGCCTCTAGAGCTATGCACTTTTAAAACTAGATTGAAAGATAATTTCCATAGAACTGCTTTTTGTGTTTAGTTTGTCCTTCCCCAGCACCACCGATTTAGCACGGTTGGCATCGTACAGTGAACATTTTTCAAGACAAAGATGCCCTATATAGATGCTAGCAGGTACCTTTTTAAGGCTGGCACGGTACCCAATCGGATGGGTGGCCAACACAATGCCTGACCACCTTTTATCTCCCCCAGTGGCGATGTTTATACACACCGCACCAGGTGTTCATTTGAGTCGACCTTAGGGAATCCCAGGATTGGTCAGATAATCGTCACTGGTGTTAGCCATTAGCGGGAAATCGAACTCGGGTCTCCAGGTTCGTAGCGCAGCGTGCTAACCCCTTGTACTACGGCTCCCCACAATATTTTCAATTTTCGATTTAAAGCTTTCGTGACTGCAATGATTCATCTTCTTTGGTTCTTTCGGTAAAGTCACGTAGAATGATAATAAAATAATAAATTGATAAAATAAAATAACACAATAATATTCTCACGACGTTTCGGCCACAACACAAGCGGCCTTCATCAGGTGAAGGGGGCAAGACTGTCTGGTAGGACAGCGCTGGAGTGAAAGAGCCACGTTCAGATATGGCCTTTAAGCTGTGTGAGAGGAACCAAGCGCCTTGACAAAGGAATTAGCATATAATTTAGCATTGAAATGGCTGAATGATTAGCTTGTGACTGGTCACAGAAATAGCTATGTTAAAAGTTAAAGCATACACACCCGCAGAGGCACCCATTGTTAAAGGTATTAGCATAGAATTTAGCATTGAAATAGCTAAGTTAAGGCATACACATCTTGACAATGGAATTAGCATAGAATTTAGCATTGAGATAGGTGAGTGATTAGCTTGTACCTGCTGCAGAAATAGAGCTTGTACCTGCTGTAGAAATAGCTACGTTAAAGTCAGAGCATACAGATTCACCGAGGCCCTTAGTACAAATCAAACAAGAGAATTTAGCATTGAAATAACTAGGCGAATCCAGCATTGAAACAACTGAGTGATTAGCTAGTGACTGGTCACAGAAATGACTACACATCTGAGCTATTCACAGTACTATATAGTGAACCAATAAAAACTAAAATATAAATTACCTTCATGTTATCAATAAACTCTATATTCTCCAATCAGCTAAGCTACCAACAATAAGTCGTTATATATCACAATGCTATATGGCGAAAAAATGGGTGGATTCTTACCCTCAAATTTCAGAACCACGGATAGCTACGGGCCCCGTTCAGACGGACGAGTTCGTCCATGGTCGGAACAGAGGAGGGGGAGAGAGACAGCTGCGAGGCCCTAGTATGCTCCATATTGTAAAACTATACCATTAACCGTGGTGTGAGAGGTATTAAGAGGCAATGCTGGCGAAAGAGCTGCGGTCTGAAGATCATCGTAAAAATACAATTAATTAAGAACAGAAATGATTTAAAACATCTTTCCAGTGGTTACTAAGCCTGAATCCATCTTCTCGGTTGAAATTGTCTCTGTGCTTGTATATGTGAATGGCCTCATGAACGAATCTCTCATGGTAGCCGGTTGGTTTGCAAAGAACCTCCGTCTTGGAGAAGTCAATGTCATGTGAGCCCACTGAATTATAACAGTGATCTGCCATGAGAGATTCGTTCATGAGGTACAAGCTAATCACTCACCTATCTCAATGCTAAATTCTATGCTAATTCCATTGTCAAGATGTGTATGCCTTAACTTAGCTATTTCAATGCTAAATTCTATGCTAATACCTTTAACAATGGGTGCCTCTGCGGGTGTGTATGCTTTAACTTTTAACATAGCTATTTCTGTGACCAGTCACAAGCTAATCATTCAGCCATTTCAATGCTAAATTATATGCTAATTCCTTTGTCAAGGCGCTTGGTTCCTCTCACACAGCTTAAAGGCCGTATCTGAACGTGGCTCTTTCACTCCAGCGCTGTCCTACCAGACAGTCTCGCCCCCTTCACCTGATGAAGGCCGCTTGTGTTGTGGCCGAAACGTCGTGAGAATATTATTGTGTTATTTTATTTTATCAATTTATTATTTTATTATCATTCTACGTGACTTTACCGAAAGAACCAAAGAAGATCCCCACAATATGTTTAACATGCATAAAATGCGGACGTAATAAGCAAAGCAGTAGTGGCTGGTTAACTCGGCGTGCACGCCCGTACCTGCTGCATCGTGGGCCCGTGCTGCTGGTGGTGGGGGTTGTGATGATGGTGGTGCTGCTGCTGCTGCTGGTGGTGGTGGTGCTGCTGCTGGTGATGGGGGAGGTGCGGAGGTTGGTGGTGGTGGTGGTTGTGGTGCGGGTGGTGGTGGTGCTGGGCAGGATGAGCCACGTGGGGCTGGTGATGTAGAGGCTGTGTTTGCCCACACACGGCCATGCCCGGTGCCATCATTCCCATGGTTCCGTTTGGCAGGTGCGGAGGCGGCTGCTGCTGACTCAGGCAAGCTTTGAGCCTCTGCAAGACAAATCCCGCGCCTCCGATTAGCACGTACCGCGCGCAAAGACGTTCCACGCACAAATGAGATGCAGTTCGATTACCGAAGTCAACAGACCTGCACTGGCATGTGGACGTCTCTAAGAATGACAGGTTATTAGGCCGCGGTGGGCATATAGCGCGCTGGGTGTGGGCGGCTAACTGGCCAGGGTGAATATGTTGTACAGTGAAACCTTGGATTGCGAGTAACTTGGTCTGCGAGTGTTTCGCAAGACGAGGAAATTTTTTAAAATAAATATTAATTTGATAAACGAGCGAGGGTCTTGCAATACGAGTAGTAGTGCGTATACTCTGTCTGCCGAGCGTCACGTGATCACAACTGATATACGAGTGCTTTGGATTACAAACACGTTTCCGGAACGAATTATGCTCGCAATCCAAGGTTTTTACAGTACTTAATTGTAGGAAGTTACAAAAATCGGTTCCTGTAGAGATGCCAGGTGGATAGTGATCATAATGGATGGTGACAGCTTGGGAGGTGGGGGGGGGGGGGGGGGGGGGGAGGAGAGTCCTTCATCCAGCAGCGGATCGATCATGAATGATGGTGATGACGCTTAATGGTAAAGGGCGCAGCCCTGCAATTGCTGTGCTCACTCCACTGCTGTCTTAAGGGGGCCTCCACGAGAGGGTAGATCTAGAGGTGCCCCATATGGGAGGGTATCTCAGCCTCAATCTTCCACAACACCGCAGAGGTGGCGGTGTGATCTCCCCCCTCGTCTGGTGCAGCAGGAGGTTGTGACTGCGATCCTGGGCCCTTGATGACAATGATGTCTGTCATCATCGTCGTCATCCACCGTGATTCATCCACTGCTGGACGAGAGCCCCCAAGCAAGCAGTTGCCATCCCTCACAGCCCTAAGATGAAACGATTCCACTTCCTAGCAGGTGAATGTCCAAACGATACCGATTTAAGTGAGAAGAAATAAACGAGTGGGCAACTGAGTAAAAAAAAATGCAATTATAACCCGAAAATCGTGAGAATCGCATCAAATCAATGTGTGTGTGTGGGGGGGGGGGGCGTTCTCCTCGTTTCCCCTCGCATGGAGAGTTCCCCGGGGTTCCTCTGGCATCGCTCGCCCCTGCCCTCACCCCCCCCCCCTCCACATAGGAAGAAGAAGAAGATGATGTAGGCGACTTCGATGAGCTACCGTGAGCCTACAAGGTCGCCACCGAGCAAGAGCCAACAGCTCAGTGCGCGGCTCTTTAAACACCATTTCGTGACAGTCGTGTGCATGAAATATTGAGGGGGGGGGGGGGGTGGGTTTACTGAAATTTGAAAAAAAAATTGTCTGCTTGTTAGTTTGGGTTGTAGACCTCCTGGGCATGGGCATCCACTATAGGGGGAGCTCTTCTGGAGAAAGACGTCTAGGAGGTGGGGGAGGGGTGTAGGAATACCCACACTTTACCCCAGCGCACAGGAACGAGTGGAGATACAGAACCGGGGGGAGGGGAGCGAGAAGACCTTGCGGTGAATGTTTTGAAAGCAGAGGGGTGGGCAGGTGATGACCTCCAATCATGCGGAAATTGATGACGGCTTGAAAGCGGGGGGGAGGGGGCTGTGCCCTTTACTGTGACAGGAGGACGGAGGGGGGTTCCAGGTGGAGGTGAGATCAGGGGGTTGAACAAGAGCGCAGGGACTACCGTGGGGATTGTTTTAAAGACGTAACGGACTTAAAATTTCATATGCAGCTGAAAAGGGGAGGGTGCGGGGGCGATGGAGTGGAAAGAATTGAATTGATGGTAGATGCATCATCACCCCCCCCCCCCACACACACACACACACAAGCCCGGCTAAGAAACCTGACAGCTGTACATCGGAGCACAAGTTTGGAGATAATGGAGCGTACGAAGAGCCACATAAATACGCGATTGCTAATAATTATCAAGGGAGAAAGTGGTGATGGGCGTGAATGACTTGAGACGTGGAGGGATGAGGGTTTGGTCAAGGGAGCTTTAAAAAAAACTTATAATGGGTGGGTAAGACTGCGGTCGGCACACCGCGTGAATCAACCCGGCGAGCCGAGTTCGATTCCCGCCCACGGCTGCCATCGGTGGCGATTATCTGAACCGGTGCTGAGCCGCCCTCTTTAGCCAATCTGCAGTGAACCAGCACGGTGAAGTATGGTCAAACAACCGATATGACCAACACCATGGAGGGGGCTTCATCCAGCAGTGGATTTGCAAAGCGGTTATCATTACAGTCCTTCAAAATTGTAACGTAAAAAGAGAATGTTATATTCCGTGTGAAGATGAGCCATTGTGTAAGGAAAAAAACAGAGGACCCAGAGCAAAATCCACACGACCACAGAGAGAACATGCAAACTCCAAATAAAGTGGTCAGGGATAGGAACAAACCCATGACCTCCTGCATACCATGCGAGGTAGTTAACATCGCGCCACTGGGAGATGTCTCGGGCTGGGTGGTGCTAACCATCGAACAAAGACGATCACTGCATCGCGCGCTTTCAGATGCGCCTCTGCAGCTGTCTGACACCCTCTTCCGAAACGAGGAAGCACTTTCAAATCATCTCAATTGAAAACTCCATTTCTTCATAACTGCTTTTTGTGTTTTAGCCGTTTTCCATCCGCCCCCCCCCACACCTCCGATTAGCGCGGTTGGCTACATACAACGCCAACGAGGTTCGACACACACACACACACACTGCATTGTCCCGAAAATCCCAGGCTGTCAAAAAGCGCCTGTCGGCTCGCGACGGGCGAAGTCTGCGCCTGTTGCGTCGTGTCGGCCAGTGATGGTGGTGGGGGAAGGCGGGGGGGGGGATCAGCTGGGGGCCCAGGTGGCCGCCTCGCTTAGCGCGCACCGCCAGCAGCCAGTCGGAAACTCTGGTCGGAGTCGCAGGGGACACGGCCGGATAATCCACCCCCCCACTCCTCCCCCCTCCACCGTCGGGGGCGCGTCCACCAGGCCGTCACGCAGCCGTGGCTGCGGGGCTCATTGTTGGCGATGAGATCACGAAACGTCGTCGCTCGCGTGGCGGTTGTGGGGGGGCCTCTGGGCGAACCGGGTTTCCCCATTCCCGCTTATTGTCACCAACACCAGGTGAGCATTATCTGAACCGGTACCTGGGCCTCGCCCGGGTGGACTCGGCCTCAAATGACAAGTTGAGTAGGCCGGTGCAGTGTGTGTGTGTGTAAAACGTCACTACTGGAGAGACCAAAGCAGCCAGGCGTGGTGCTGGCCCCCCCACCCCCGTGTGTGGCCCTGCCGGCCTTCACAGGTGCTACTCGCTAACAGCACTTGTCCCAACAGTCTGTTAAGGCTCTACGGTGGGGAGGGGGGGGCTCTTTGTAATTTTTTTGGTGGTGATGACTGGGGTCAGACAAAGCCCGCACTGCTCAGATCCCTGGTTTCGAATCCCGGGGTTTCGGCCATCCAAATCCAGGATTCAAATCCCGGTTCTCGAATGCAATGGGTGATGGTGGTCTAGGTCTACGGGTACGTGGGTCAGAAATTATTGCGCAAAAAAAAGTTCGTTAATTTTTTTTCTTTAAACTAGTTTGAGTGTGATTGGCACTTGATGAACAGGCTTAGCAGGGCATTAACAGGCGTGCCCCATTTGCGCGGATAAAGAGACCCATGGGAGTGACCTCAGAGGTAGTCCTGTGACGTGGTCTTCCGCAGGCGCTCTCCGACACGGGGCGATCAACTGCGAGCTGCAAAACGTCGGACATCGTGTGCCCCAAACAACAACAACAACAACAGCGCGCAAGTCCAATCCCGGATAACATGGGCGGAGATGGACACGGACATAACGGAGGGTGTGGGGGGGTGGTGTACGTATGCAGCGTTAACAGAAATGAATGTTTCATTTGCCGTCTGTTCAGACAGTAATGTTAATGACGAATGAGTTTAGTTTTATTTTTACTCTCGGGGATTGATGTCTGGGGCTGTTGTTGCTGCTCGGTGACTTTGTAGCGATCGACGGCTCTGTCCCCCCCCCCGCCTGACTACGACGCTACCGCAGGTGAAGCCACCGGCGATTTCTGTCCGTGTCCTGCGAAATTGTCTATGAACCCGCGGGAATAATTGTCTACAAACTCCTTCGTAAATAATATACTATAGCCCTCCCGGAAAGACTTCGCCACCCCCCTTGTTGATGGCTTAAAATCGCCTCCCCCCCCCCTCCCCCGCCCGTCCCCGCACATTGATTTGATGCGAGTTTCACGATTTTAGGGTTAGAATGAAAGTAATTTCAATTTCTTTTGCTTACTCTTTAAGCCGACTCGTTTGTATTTCTTTCTCGCTTCGTCTGCATCGTTTGCCCATCCAGATGCTCGAAAGTGGATCGTTTCATCTCCAGGGCAGTGAGCGACGGGGCCACTGTTTTTCCTTGGGGGGGGGGGGGGCCCTCATCCCTGCCGCCACCGCCCGGAGCAAAGCGTAGATGGTGAGACGGAGGTCAAGCGTAGATGGTGAGACGGAGGTCAAGCGTAGATGGTGAGACGGAGGTCAAGCGCAGATGGTGAGACGGAGGTCAAGCGTAGATGGTGAGACGGAGGTCAAGCGTAGATGGTGAGACGGAGGTCAAGCGTAGATGGTGAGACGGAGGTCAAGCGTAGATGGTGAGACGGAGGTCAAGCGTAGATGGTGAGACGGAGGTCAAGCGTAGATGGTGAGACGGAGGTCAAGCGTAGATGGTGAGACGGAGGTCAAGCGTAGATGGTGAGACGGAGGTCAAGCGTAGATGGTGAGACGGAGGTCAAGCGTAGATGGTGAGACGGAGGTCAAGCGCAGATGGTGAGACGGAGGTCAAGCGCAGATGGTGAGACGGAGGTCAAGCGTAGATTGGTGAGACGGAGGTCAAGCGTAGATGGTGAGACGGAGGTCAAGCGTAGATGGTGAGACGGAGGTCAAGCGTAGATGGTGAGACGGAGGTCAAGCGTAGATGGTGAGACGGAGGTCAAGCGTAGATGGTGAGACGGAGGTCAAGCGTAGATGGTGAGACGGAGGTCAAGCGTAGATGGTGAGACGGAGGTCAAGCGTAGATGGTGAGACGGAGGTCAAGTGCAGATGGTGAGACGGAGGTCAAGCGCAGATGGTGAGACGGAGGTCAAGCGTAGATTGGTGAGACGGAGGTCAAGCGTAGATGGTGAGACGGAGGTCAAGCGTAGATGGTGAGACGGAGGTCAAGCGCAGATGGTGAGACGGAGGTCAAGCGCAGATGGTGAGACGGAGGTCAAGCGTAGATGGTGAGACGGAGGTCAAGCGTAGATGGTGAGACGGAGGTCAAGCGTAGATGGTGAGACGGAGGTCAAGCGCAGATGGTGAGACGGAGGTCAAGCGCAGATGGTGAGACGGAGGTCAAGCGCAGATGGTGAGACGGAGGTCAAGCGCAGATGGTGAGACGGAGGTCAAGCGTAGATGGTGAGACGGAGGTCAAGCGTAGATGGTGAGACGGAGGTCAAGCGTAGATGGTGAGACGGAGGTCAAGCGTAGATGGTGAGACGGAGGTCAAGCGTAGATGGTGAGACGGAGGTCAAGCGTAGATGGTGAGACGGAGGTCAAGCGTAGATGGTGAGACGGAGGTCAAGCGTAGATGGTGAGACGGAGGTCAAGCGCAGATGGTGAGACGGAGGTCAAGCGCAGATGGTGAGACGGAGGTCAAGCGTAGATTGGTGAGACGGAGGTCAAGCGTAGATGGTGAGACGGAGGTCAAGCGTAGATGGTGAGACGGAGGTCAAGCGCAGATGGTGAGACGGAGGTCAAGCGCAGATGGTGAGACGGAGGTCAAGCGTAGATGGTGAGACGGAGGTCAAGCGTAGATGGTGAGACGGAGGTCAAGCGTAGATGGTGAGACGGAGGTCAAGCGTAGATGGTGAGACGGAGGTCAAGCGCAGATGGTGAGACGGAGGTCAAGCGCAGATGGTGAGACGGAGGTCAAGCGCAGATGGTGAGACGGAGGTCAAGCGTAGATGGTGAGACGGAGGTCAAGCGTAGATGGTGAGACGGAGGTCAAGCGTAGATGGTGAGACGGAGGTCAAGCGTAGATGGTGAGACGGAGGTCAAGCGTAGATGGTGAGACGGAGGTCAAGCGTAGATGGTGAGACGGAGGTCAAGCGTAGATGGTGAGACGGAGGTCAAGCGTAGATGGTGAGACGGAGGTCAAGCGTAGATGGTGAGACGGAGGTCAAGCGTAGATGGTGAGACGGAGGTCAAGCGTAGATGGTGAGACGGAGGTCAAGCGCCTCCGCGCTCACGGGAGTGACGTTTTCACGGCGCTCGTGGTCACGCCGACGGTAAAAGTTTCCGCTCGCGCGCTTTTGTGATTTGTGAATTTGTGATTTGTGAATTTGTAACTTTTTTTTGTCACCTTACCCGGCCGGTCTCCCCCCCCCCACCCCTAACCCCGGGGAGAGGAGATCGTTGCGGGGCTTGATTTACCGTCGCACTCTTAACGTCGGGATTTATCGCCGCGGTAACGACGACGACAATAACGACAACAACAACAAACAACAAAAAACCCACCTGCCAGGAAGGTATTTAAAAGCGACGCCCTCATCACCGCCGGTAAATAACAGCTCGAGAAATGAAGGAGGCACGCGCTCCGCCGCTGCTGCTGCTGCTGCTGCCGCTTTAATTGAGATGCACGGCGCGAAATTCGACGGCAAGTCACGCGGTGGCTTTTATACATCTTTTTTTACGCGGGTAAAAGATGGCTTTCGTTGCACGCGTTGATTTGTTTATTTACACCAACCCCCCCCCCCCCACCCCCCCACCTTCGGTGATTTGCATCCGGCAGTGAATTGGGATTTAACGCGTGGACTCCGCCAGGAGCCCGCAGCCGTCCAAGCAGAGATTCGCTCGACGGGCAAAGCGCATCTCGCGCGGCGTTTCTACGTTTTGCCCGCGACGCTTTTTAATCGCTTGACGACACTCGAACGCGGAGTTTGCCACCTTTCTTGTCGTCGTTCCACTGCTCGATTGGAGTCTTACCCCCCACCCCCACCGCGCTTGGTCGGTAACAAGGAGGGGGGCGGGGGAGGGAAGTTGACCATACTTCACCACGCCGGGGTCACTGCGGGGCTTTTAAGACGGTGCGGGGTGAACCCGGACCCGGTTGAGATATCATGCGCCACCGACGTTCGCCCGAGGCTTGGAATCGAACTTGTGTCACTGTAGTTCACAGCGCAGTGCGCTATGCAAATGGGGCACCGCGGTGTGAGATGTTAACTACCTCGCCTGGTATACAGGAGGTCGTGGGTTCAATCCCGACCCTTGACGCCTGCTGTATATTAGGAGTTTGCGTGTCTCTTTCTCCCCACCCTGTGATCGCGTGGATTTTTCTCCGGGTCATCTGGTTTTTCCCCTCCACATTTCGAACCAACATCACACGTTTAGAGTATTTGTCTGCTATAAATTTCCACGTGGTAAGCCACTTCGTTGAGCTATCATTTGGAGCCCGGTCGCTTCTGAAAAAAAGAAACTAGCTCAGTGGGGCCTTACCTGATAAAATAGTTTAATAGTTCAGTTTGAACTCCCTTATCGTAATAATAGGGTTTTCCCCTTTTTTCTGGCAACAAAACTGAAACCTTTTTACAAGGATTCATGTCGGCATTAACCAAAATACCTGCAGTCAAAATGCAAACAAAAAACATTCTATGATAATGTATGCATTGTCCTTGAAACTGATTGGTCCACACCAAGGGACGGCTTTCTTTTGAGCTTTGACCCAGTTGGTGCTCGACTAGATGTTTAGGTAACGAGGTTCATGGTGCAGTGTGCCAACCACTGGACTACCGCCCCCCACCGTACCACTGTAAACCTAGCAGCTCGGTGCGGTGAGTACATTCAGACAATTACAGCTTTAAGTGCCACTTTCCCAAGACCGCAGTGGTTCGCCTAATGTGCAAATTACAACTAAAAATAACGTTATTATAAACACATTTTGAGGGTTTAGCGCTGTGTAATTGCAGCAATTTGCAAACTGTTGGCTTGACCGAGGACAAATTGTGATCCGTTTTCAATTGCACATTTCATATGCCCCTTGCAATGCCTCCTGAAACTCCATGCCCCTTAATAAATAAATAAATTTGCCGAATTGCCAAATCCCGGTCATTCTGAATCCACGACTGGGTGAAAGCTCTCTCTCCCTACCGTGTATGTTCTGGAGGTGGTTGACCAAACTTCACGACGCTGGTCGGTGAAGGGGCTGGGGGAATATGGAGGCCCCAGGACTAGTTGACATATCGCTCGCCACTGATGTTAGCCGTGAATGGGGGGGGGGGGGGGGAATCGAACTCGGGTGGGCCGGGTTCATAGCGGAGCGTGAGCGCCGTAACAACTGCGCCACCCTCCCAGCGTCGCGAGGCCATTCGTCAATCCACACGTAATGCTCACGATTACGCACCACAGCAGGTACTCATTTAAGGCCAAGTCGACTGCTTCGGTTATTCGCCACTGTTGTTAGTCGCGGGCGGGAATCGAACTCGGCTCGCCGTGTTCCGTAGGGCAGAATCCTGACCGCGACTGCACTCGTGCTGCCCATATATACACATGAGCAAAGACACGCGCGCTCACAATCCGCGTGTACGTGTAATTTTCCGCTTAAGCATATTTCCCAAATTAACGTGTTTCTCAACACGCACACACGCGGCCGGTTCTCTCTGTCGATGGTGATTCACGTGGGGTGGGTTTGGCGTGGCGCTTCCGCTGAACGAGAAGGCGCGCTGGGCGCTTGCACCGCCGTGGTTACTGCTCTCCCGTGAACCTCGCCCGCTCCTCTGCCCGCCCGTGTTGAGGACTCTGGTGTGCCAACCAGACTCGTCCACACTGTGTTCCAACCGCCACCAACTCGCTCACTCACCCGCTCATTCTGATTCGTCATATCCACTGTGTTTGACCACCACCACTACCACCACCACCACTGCAAACACCGACACATGAGAAAGCTCACCCTCTCGCTCACCCACCCACTCGCCATACTGCTGGTCGCAATAATACCCTCGCTCGTTCGCTATGATAACAGCCATCGCGATATGAAGCGTGTTTTTTTTCTCTCTTCTCGCGAAGAACAACAGTGCCTTCTGTGTCACATCAACCATCCCATGTCTCACACCTGTTCCACCCACTAGCGACTCGCGCCGCTGGCTACGTACGGCGCGAGAGAAGTTCAACGTGGATACAAGCACACCTGCCCTCAAGCACCGCCTCCGAACGCATCCACGAGCATCCGAGCCGTCTGCTCGGATGCCTCAGGGGAGGGTACCCGCCCACCTGGCGCGACTGCTTGAGCAAGAATGCGCCAGTGATGGACAACGCTCGGACACGCTGACGACAGCGAAGGTGCAGCTCCCTCCGGTCAGCAGTGGCTCATTCCACCGCTGTCAGGAGGGCCCTTCGC